CAGATTTATTTATATTTTATATAATATTTAAAATAATAATATAATTGTTAAACGTTAGAACTATATCCCAGATTAACGACCAAAGTTGGTCTCTATTTTTGTAAGCGGCCAACTTTGGTCGCTAAATTTGAATTATATTTTTTTATATTTTATAATTTTTTTTAAATAAAAATATAATTATTAAAATTTTATAATTGGGTCCCATTTTAGCGACCAAAGTTGGTCGCTATCTGCTTACCCCTTAATTAGCGACCAACTTTGGTCATTTTAAATTTTATATTTTATAATTCTTTTTAAATAATATTATAATTTTTATAATTTTATAAGTGGATCCCCTGTAGCGACCAACGTTGGTCGCTAATCTCAGTATACCTTTGACCAAGCAAGTCTGACCAGTCCGGTCAATATTTTGATGAAATTAGCGACCAACCTTGGTCGCTAATGTATATCAAATAATTATTTTATTATTTTCGCCAATTTAGCGACCAACTTTAATTGCTTTTCTTGACAGACCAACTTTGGTCGCTAAGGTTTGGTCGCTTTTTTCCAGAATTCTAGTAGTGACAGGTAGTACATCCAATCGATATCTCTCCCACTCCTGATGTCAAGTACAAACGGTGGAAATATACATCATACAACTTTATCATCGCAACATTTTGGTCACCACTCTTAGTCAAAACAAACTTGGTTGGTCGTAGGGACGACGAAGTCTTCAACATTTATCTTGACCAAGTTGATAAGAATTGGACAAGCCAAGTCAATGAGTTCAACTATATCATCCTTAATGTTGGCCACTGGTTCAATGGATTATACTATAAGAAAAATCAACTAGTTGGTTGCTGGCGATGTTCACTAAAAAATGCTACTGAATTCCCAGTTCATTATGCGTACACTGGCATTTAGGGAAGCTTTAAAAGCCGTCAACAGTTTAGAGAAATTTAAGGGTACAACTTTTGTTAGGACTTTTGCACCTGCTCATTTTGAAGGTGGAGAATGGTATACAGGTCAGATCATTTTATGTATTTTCCCTGAATTTTTCCAATTGTAACGATAGAAGGGGAGCCTTGACGTAACTGGTAAAGTTACTGCCATGTGACGTCCTGGTTCGAGCCATGAAAATAGTCTCTTGCGAAAATGCAGGGTAAGGTACAATAGACCCTTGTGGTCCGGCCCTTTCTCGGACCGCGTATAGTGGGAGCTTAGTGCATCAGGCTGCCCTTTTTTCAACTGTAACAATTACTTACTGAAAGAGTAAAGTCGTTAGGCTTTACCATGATAGCGGTAAATTAAAGTCACCTTAATAAGTAGGTTTTGTCGTTATAATGCGTATATATAGTGATTGGATTTACGAGTATAGTAAGTAATTAATGTTTAGTTATTTTTACGTGATTAAAAATAGTTATATTACTTTATTGTATTACTGAGTAAAGTTTAATGACTTTATTGTTGTAGTGTGGAATAAAGTTCAATTACGTACTTTAATGTGACAAAAAATTGTTTCGCAGCTTTAACGTTCTAGTGGATAAATTAGTTTACTGACCGTATGTAGAATTAACGAATGCAGGTGGGGATTGTTTGAGGAAAAGGCCATTTACAAGCAATGAAATAGTTTTGGAAGGTTTGAATTTGGAGTTTTATAAGTCACAAGTGGAAGAATTTAGGGTTGCTGAGAAGGAAGGGAAGATAAAGGGGAAGAAGTTTAGATTGTTGGATGTAACACAAGCCATGTTATTGAGCCCAGATGGTCACCCAAGTAAATATGGGCATCTGCAGCCTGAAAAAGTGAAGAACAAAGACTCTGTGCAATGGTGTTTGCCTGGTCCTATTGATTCTTGGAATAATTTCCTGTTTCATATGTTGAAGATGGAGCAACAAGAGATAGGATAGAGCTAGAGCATTGGTTATGGATTCGGGCGAACCCAATAACTTTTGCTTAGATTTTGCATTGGTATTACAAAGTTCTTTATATATGTATAAAATACTTAATTGTAAACTCATTAACTAAGACGAGCTATGAATATCCGTGGCAAGTTCAAAACTCATAAGTTTCAAATCATGGTTTCGCCTATGCAAGAGATTCTTTGACGAAAACTCTCCAATATTTCTTTTTGTTTGAATAATTTTTTTATTTAAATTATGGGAAATGTGTTGTTTTAGTACGATTAATTCTAACGGTTGGCTTTAGTATAACCATTCATAATGTAAAGAAATTTTATAATCTTGAAAAATAAAATATGTTTTACCTGCTACACCCTCGTGAGTAAAAATTTCTTACACCTAAGGGTATATAATTTAAATTCATTATTATATAACTAGCACGTTGGTTGTGTCTCATATCAGTGCCAACTAGTCCTTGTTTAATTTCTTGATACCATTTCCACAAAGAATATAATTTAATTGTTAACTTTCTACTTCCTCCCATCTCTTCTTTCCCTTTTTCAATACTCTATTGAAGAAACTCCAGTCAATGGAGTTCCCTTGTGGGAAAAACTCCATTAATGCATCTCAAAGAACCCCAAAAATATTCATACTTGTTGCTTTAACATTCATCATTCTAGGTATAATCCCTCTTCACCACACTTCAAAGCGGTATCATGCCAAAGATTTAGTAAACCATCAGTCTAAAAAGTCACCAACATATCATATGGAAGATATGGAAATAAAGTTTACAGAAGATGAAACATGTGATATTTTTACAGGAGAGTGGATTCCAAATCCAGATGGTCCATATTACACGAACACGACATGTTGGGCTATCCATGAACATCAAAATTGCATGAAATATGGAAGGCCTGATACTGACTTCTTGAAATGGAGGTATAGTGTGTCTAGTTTAGTACATGTATCATAATTTAGTTTTAGACTTTTCTTTTTCCCTTAGTTCATGAGTAATTAAAACGATGCGTGCACAACAACAATTATGTCCTCAATCTCAAACAAAACGATAGAGGATCTGATCTGTACTGTCAAACTTCTCTATAACAACCTTATTTGTTTCAGATTTTTTTGGTTGTTGTAGTGAAGTGCTTTTATAGAGAACACATATTATAACATAGCATGAAAATTGGTTTTATTAAAAAGTTGAATTTTATAGTGAATGGTTGTTATATACGGTGCTGTTACAGAGAGGTTTAACTGTATTTCCAACAGGTGGAAGCCCAAGGGATGTGAGTTGCCTATCTTCAATCCATATCAATTCTTGGATATGATGAGGAACAAGTCATTGGCATTTGTTGGAGATTCAGTGGGAAGAAACCAAATGCAATCCTTAATATGTCTCTTGTCTCAGGTACCATTTGCCTCTCTATAGTTGTTATTATTGTGGTTCATTTGCCTAAAGCCTCAACTTTCCTTCCATTCTGCATATAGTATTTGAACATTCATTGCTTTACCTATTTTTTGCAAATCTACCATTACTTCTCTAATTAGTGAAACGTTTATTAAGTGATATATTTAAATGAGAGATAAAGGATTATTCAAGCAAATATTGATCTTATGATTAAGGCTATTAAATGTATTTCTTAAATAATGTGCATACACTTTACAAAACAGATAATAAAACAGTAGAAATACTTGGTAAAATACTATAAACCACCTTGTTCCTTGAAACTCTAGTTAGATGGAAGAAAAATAGATGTTCATTTTTCTTTTTCTTTTTAATTTTCTTTTCTTTGCTTATCTTGGGTTAAGTGCACATAGCTTGTAGTGTAATAGAGGTTCGATGTGGAGGAAGGTTAGTTAACCAAAGATTGACGTTTTTCAAGGTTTAGGTGAAATTCTATTGAAGGCAAATAAGGTTTGAACCTGAAATTTATACTATTTCTTTTCTTGTGAATACGAAATTAACAATGATGTAATTATCGTTATTCTCAAAGTGATTTTCGAGCTGGAGTTGATAGTCGAACAACGGCATTACCCTTTTCTCCTACTTCATATATTAATCATCAAAAAGAAAAAGAAAAGGAAAAAAAAGGATGACAAAGACCCATCGCAAAGTACTACAAGAAGCTTAAGGGTTAAATAATTTTTCCTATTGGTAACAAATTTTTAGACAAGTACTTCTCACTTTAAATAGAAAGTTACGACAATGGAATCTTGTAGAGTGCTAGTATAAAGTTTATCATATTGCATTTCAGCTTCACAATCATATAGAACAGAAACAGTTTTATAAGGATTTGAAGTTTATGGGTTTAGGATTTAGTACTATATCTCAAATTAATTTGTTCGCGGTCAAAACTAATAGATACTACTATTTAGTAAATTTTTGAATACATGTACAAGAGTAAAAATTGCTAGGTTTGGGTGAATTCATATATAGCACGGTCGATCTGCCATTTTATTAGAACGGTGAGTTTTTATAAACAGTGAAAACGAATTTTTATATTACAAAATCACCTAAAAGAAACGACAAATGACTATTCATAAAAAGTGAGTTCATTATCTTTGAAAATAAGATAGATTAACTGTTGTGTTTTAAAGGGGCATGAGGCGGGCATTTTACTTAATACGAGATGAGGCATAAATTTCGAGATATGTGGGCGTAAGTCCAATAGATCTTTAAACTTTTTAATTTTTATAAAATAATATAATAACACAAAAAATATAGAAAGTACATAAAATGTTTAAGAAAGTTAAAAATAATTAAAAAAAAACTCATAGAAAATAAACATGTAGCATATATCAAACTACACATTTTACCTCTTAAAAAGTAAATAATCAAGAAATTTTATTAGTACTATAATTTAAAACATTACTCCTTCATAAATAAATATAAAATTTCTCTCAAATATCAAAATAATAAAACACTGGAAATTTTGTGAGACATATGAACTGAGACTAACGAGTGAGATATAAGTTTCGGCTATCTAATTTTGAAGTAATATTCACCCTCACGATTCTCAGTTATTAAATTTTGCAATATGCTGGCTCATTATAAAAGTTACTCTCAATCTTCATATTTATAGATGAATAGAACTCTTATCATTCATTTGGTAAAAGAATTTCGGGAATCAACTGTGCTAATTAGGAAATTTTACACATAATTTCCGTAAGAATTATTAAGCGAGCTCCGAACAATTGGCGTGCTTAGGGTGCATAGTCGGACGCTTGGACATAAATCTAATAGAACTAAGCCATACTCGTAAACCTCGGTGTGTATTGCAAGTGCCCCGCCCAAGGACAAACCCTAAATGCATCCCAAAAAAGCCTTTTGAGACATTGGTTGTTACACTATGTTTAAGATATATTTATGACGTAAAACTTATTTTTAACTCAGAGACTATATATATAAATATATACTTGTAAAATCTTATCAGGATTGGGTAGCTTAGTAGATCCGAAGTTCTCACCCCGTAATGACAAACTTGTGATAGAATCCAAGCATGACAACGTGGGTTCCTAACATGTTATTCCCTCGAGAAATGTTGAGAAATGAGAGGATAACTGTCTTTTTCAGAGATTTGTTGACAAATTCATTGACAACCAAGGTCCAACACCATGGTCTTTTCATCTTTTTCCCCTTATAAAAATGGTTTTTGGTTAATTTAAAAAATATTTAAGCTCGAGAAAAAGACAGGAATCAGCAGATTTTTCTATATGTTATATTTTACATCCTGACATAAACAAGATCGATCGGAGCTTTTCTTTCTTTTTTTTTAAGTCGGGGCCTGCTAAACACCGCATGTGCTTCTGCATGTGTCTCAATATTCGTTTTAGCAAAAGAATTTAACTTTTATTCACTGACATTATTAACGCGTTTTTATATTTTTCGACTTCCTACGAGATAATTATATGTAACCATTTGTAATGTGTAGAATAGTGCAAGAAATTAAAATTTTACGTTGTTGATGGATATATAGAAGTTAAACTCTTTTGGCGTAGAGTTTGACTTCTATGCATCGCTATTGTTCTAGAAAATTTACACCATCAAGTCTATCGAGAGATAACTACAAGCAAAGCCTATAATGAGTGGAATAGTGCAAAAAAAATTAAACTATTAGTGTATATAAGTTAATTTTTTTAGTAAAAGAGTTTAACTTCAATAAATCGACAGCGATAAATAATTTTTCGATCATCTAAAAGACAATTATAAGTAATCGCTCATACAAAGTTGAATTAGTGCCTAAAAAATTAATAAAGTAAATTACTTATTATAATATGTAAAATATAGTAATGGTCAAAATTACCCTATTGTTATGTGAGGAGTCATGGCTTTTTTAATTGTTTTTCTTGATTTCTTTTATTTTTATTTTACAGGCAGTATATCCAATTGATGTCTCTACTACTCCAGATGAAAACTTCAAAAGGTGGAAATATACGAGTTACAATTTTACCCTAGCAACATATTGGTCACCATTCTTGGTCAGAATGAAAGATATAGACTCTGATGGTCCAACTAAAACTGGACTCTTCAATCTTTATCTTGACGAAGTTGACGAGAAATGGGCAAACCAAATTGAAGAATTTGATTATGTCATCCTCAATGCTGGCCACTGGTTTACTAGATGCAGTGTATACTACGAGAAAAACCAACTAGTTGGCTGCAGGTACACCTAATTTTAAGTTTAGTAACTCACCTTACCTGCTTATAATAATAAAAATCTTTTATCATATTAAAGAGATTATTGAACTTACCTATTATAATAATAAAGTTACAAGACTTTACCCAACATTGCAATAAAATTAAATTGATGGGTAAGTTTTGCTACTATAGTGGATAAAGTTTACCGACTTTACTATTATAGTGGGTAAATTTAAGTTACTTTAACGTGACAAGGTCCTATGACCTTACTATTATAGTTGGTAAAGTTTAACGGCTTTGTTGTTATAGTAGATAAGGTTAAGTTATAACAACAAAGTCACAAAACTTTACCTCGCCCAGTATTACGGTGAAATTAACTTGGATAAGTTTTGCTACTATAACATGAGTTTACCTACTTTATTGTTATAGTGGATAAATTTCAATTACTTTAACGTGACAAGGTCTTATGACAATACCGTTGTAGTTTGTAAAGTTTATTGACGTTGTTGTTATAGTAGATAAGATTAAGTTACAACAGCAAAGTCACAAAACTTTATCCAATATTGCAGTAAATTAACTTGATGGGTAAGTTTTGCTACTACAGTGGATAAAGTTTGCCGACTTTATTGTTATAGTACGTAAATTTCAGACGTGAAAAGGTCCTATGACATTACTGTTGCAGTTGATAAGTTTAGTGACTTTGTTGGTATAGTAAATAAGGTTAAGTTACATTGATGCGACATAGAGTAATTTTATGATTTTACTATTATAATAGTTATCTTACGTGAAATTAACCCGCTCTGCAGGTACTGTGGACTTCCAAATGTTACTGACCTCCCATCTAGTTATGGCTACCAAAAGGCAATTAGGACTGTTTTGAAAACCATCAACAACTTGGCAAACTTCAAGGGCATAACTTTTCTTAGGACTTTTGCACCTTCTCATTTTGAAGGTGGGGAATGGAATAATGGTGGGAATTGTGTGAGGAGAAAACCATTTTCAAGCAATGAAACAACTTTGGAGGGTTTTCACTTGGATTTATACACTATTCAAGTTGAAGAATTTAAGGCAGCAGAGAAGGAAGGGAAGAAAAAGGGAAAGAGATTTAGATTGTTGGATACAACACAAGCCATGTTATTAAGACCAGATGGTCATCCAAGTAGATATGGACATTGGCCAAATGAGAATGTTGTGTTGTATAATGATTGTGTTCATTGGTGTTTGCCTGGTCCTATTGATTCTTGGAGTGATTTCTTGCTTCATATGTTGAAGTTGGAGGGCAAGAGATCTCATGAGGAAAAGCTTCAATATATGAAACAATGGAGCTTATAAGCAAAGGGTTCAATATTTATTTTTGTACCATTAAATTCATTGCACATTTACAATTATGATTTAGAAGTTAATATTTATTGAAATTTTAGTAATTTTTCACATATGCTTCATGTAAAAGTGGAACTGGTCGAACCTGTTGAAACTACAGAACATCGACCTCTGGAGACAAGAACTACGTTCACAGCTAGGATTGAAGTTTAATGTGATGAATTTCTCTACAAAAACCTTCGATAACTCTCCAAATATAGGGCGTTCTTAGCAAATTCAGGAAAGTCAGACTCGCAACAGCCCAAAAAAAGTTAAAAGATGATGATTGTGGTTAAATGTCCCTACCAGACATAACTATTAATTCGTGCCATTTGGTGGTAATGTCCAAATGTTGTCATTGTAATACTAATAATTATTAGGCGTACAAACATAGCTGCTAACCAACTAAACACCCCTACAGGGAAAAATAAACTAAACTCTGTAACTAAACTTGAATGCCAACCACTACATAAGCCACTAGTGGCCGAGAAAAAGCGAGCAGCACCGTGTATTGGTTGCGCTGAGTTTAAAGATGCAAGCCCCTATCAGAGAAAGCTATTGCGCGCTAGCCTAGCTAGCTAACGGTTTTCAGCTGGTTGTTATGTTAGTTGTAGCGTGCCTTCCCTCCTCTCATTTTGGATAAGATTAAATTATATTATTTAGTGTAAACACCAGGTATAGGTAAATATTTCAAGGGCGGATTTAGCTTATAAGTTACGAGTTCACGTTAATCCAGTAGCTTTTGCTCAAACCCTGTTTATGTATCAAAATCTATAGATATTTGACTATGAATCTAGTTATTACTGTATATTAACTTGAGGTAGTTGTAGCTACTAACTATTATGGGCATTAGCTACATGAGAAGAAATCTGTGACCAACTGTAGATTCTAAAAATTCCTTTTTCGATTCACAGTTTTGAAAATGGAAGGAGATGTATTCAGTAGACAATGCTTCTCTCTAGAAAGAATAACATAAAGCACATGGAATATCCTCAGCCATTCTTGACAGCTATAAATTTTATCAACCTACAGAAATAGAGGTGGCATTTTGAACATTTTCAGTAATTATTTTAAAGTAAATGTAATATTTTCTTTTGAAAAACTTTTAGCAATTTAACAAAAAACTTCCTTGCTTTCATTCAACAGCCAAGCTAAAACAATTACATCAAAGCAAAGTTATCGGGAAACATTCCGGGGTCTCTAAATGAGAAGCATTAGAACAAAGAACAGAAGCTAGATACATTATTTCCGAAAAGACAACACTATTGTGAATATTCAAACATTACTACTAGGCTGGAATTACACGTTAATTCTCAAGCAAAACTACATCATTGTATGCAGGGACTTTTCACATTTTATACATTTAAAAGTTTAACAAAAATTCATGAAGCAAATATGCTCAGCTCTAGAATGATATCTTAATGAATACCAAAATATGGAGTGCTAAAACGTACACAACAAAGGCTGACCTAAGTAACATAAGCTTCTGCAAATTCTCCATTCGGCCAGGCTTTTGACGAGGATCAACAATATAATCTGAAGAAATACGTCCCCTGTCGATGCTGCTTCTTGTATACCTATTCCTGGCAGCATTAATATCGGCATTGCTAGCTTCAAGCTTCCCCCAAAGGCCATTCAATCTTTCTAATTCCATCTCCTTTAGATGGACTTCGTTGGCTAGGCCCTCCGCCTGGGCCTAAAGTAGGTAAAACACAAACAATTAGGAGCCACAAATCGATAGAAAATTGCATAACAGAATGCTAAATATAAAGAGAATAAGAAACAAGCAGATCATTCACCTGTTTTGAAGCAAGCTGCTCTATTAGACTATGAAGCTGCTTATCCAATATTTTCTCTCGCTGAGCTGAAAGAAAGAGCATGAGAGATCGAGATTTTAGGCATATCATGTTATAATGTGTCATTCTTTAGGCTCATCATGTTATAAAATGTCATTATGCAGCTTTATTCCCCTAAATTTCTAACTAGTTTACCAATGTGTATTCAAAATAACGTGCGTGGACATATGAAAGAAACCAGCTTCTTTATAAGCATGAATTGAAAGAAATCTTAAAGACACCAATCTATCTATAATGGTTTGACCACACACAATAGGTGTTGATGAATCTCGATGAAAGAATACATCAAGCTAATTCGACAAGTTTAATAGCCTTTTCCGTTTCAGGAAAAAAAAAACTCTTTCTCATAACTTGTGATCTTATAATGGAAAATCTAAAATATAAAAAGTGTGTCACTTTCATTATACACAATAATGTAAGCTAGTATATGTTCATAGTTGGGTACCTGGGGAAGGTTGCTTGAGTGCATAATCTTGAACTTTTGCCCATTTTTTCTCCAGGTCATGCACAGCTTCTTCCATTGATGTCTAATATAAAATAGTTCAGCACAAGCAGATGGAAAAGGAGGAGAACTAGTTTACATTGGATATTATGATGCAACCGAGATAAACTAAGCTACACACCAGTTCTTTCTTTCTCTCCTCTAATTTCCCCAGCAATGCAAAATTTGCGGATTCCTCATCTTCTTGATCTTCACCATTGTTTTTAATCAGAAAATCATTTGATTTGGACTTGCTGGCTGCTGCAGCCTGCGCCTGTTCTAACTCTAACTTCAAATTTTCCTCAATTAAAGCCAGTTCCTGTAAATTGCATGGTGCTCCATAAATCTTGCTCTATATCAATGAAGATCCCAGTAACAGAGATGATTATGTATAAAGGAATCAGTGGACTGGATGAAGGTGAAATTATATCCAGCAATAACTTGTGACTTGTGAGAACTTCAGACATTTGATACAGGAGATAATGAAGCTTATCCTTTAATACAATTTGTAAGACAATTCGTAATACTCCATACATAACCGCATATAGGACTGACTCATCTGCTGTGCAGGCCGGCAAGTTTTTACTAGTTTAAGACTGCATGGGATATGCCAGGAAAAAAAAAAGATGATTTCTAAATTGAGAGAGAGAGAGAGAGAGAGGAGACTCTGCACAACTTCTTTGCGAGGGATTCTAAGATTCTAACTTGACATGAAATTTATTCTGGATTCTGTTCTGTACTTGCTTCCTGATTTTACAAAGAAAAGTCACATCAACAGTTGTCTATGTGAGCACTTATTGGAGAATTTCGTCTGTCCTCTGACAGTTGGACATGCAATAAAATGATAAAACAGTGAACAAACATGTCCCTTCTTTTTGAACAGCAGTAACTCATAAAAGACCATTTATAGAAAGTTATGACCAACCTTCAACTTGCTGTGTAGAATGTCTGCTTCCTGTGACTTCTCCTGAATCTTATTCTCATAACTTGAGATAGCCTTCTCATACTCGGAATTTTCTTCTTGCAGAGTAATTTCTCTTAATTGTGCCTGCCATCAAGTTAGCACAAACTATTATACGTTAAATTCCAAGCTCTAAATGCATATTCCAGTGCATTCAAAAGTATCATCTTTGATGTCCTTGATACCTAGCCAAATAACTCAATAGCGTTGAGACATAATATAATAAATAGATAAAAGTGAGTTGTCTTTAACAGCTTAAGCTTTTACATGAGATGGTAACCCACCTTCAATATGGTATCAGAGCAAGCAGAGGTCTTGTTTTCAAGCCTCACCACCACCCATTATTAAAAAGAATTTTCACGTGCTTGGCTACTGAAAAAGAATCAAGCCCGCACCTAAGAAGGCGTGCTGAAGACATAATTGAATTCAAGCATGTGGATATTCTTTTTTATATTGGGCGGTGGTGAGACTTGAACCCCGGGACCTTTGCTTGCTCTGATACCATATGGAAGTGTGTGACCATCTCACCTAAAAGCTTATGTTAGAGAAAGAGCACTTTTACTTTACTTAAATAACGTCTTCAGTGAATAGAACCATCTCTTAATTTAATACATCACTCCAAGAATTAATATACATACAGTTAAAGTTAATATAAACCAGAAGCAAATACAAATGAATTGAAATAGTTAAGAGTAGGAAAGCTAGTAAAAGTTTCATACTATTAATGACATCCCCACCTCATCAAAGAATAAAGAGGAAAGTAACAAGAGAAAACTGACACCTAGGCAAAAACTTCGTCGTATTCATCTCATCTGGAAACTTTGTGTAATACATTAAGCAAGGCCCTATGCTCTACTTCTAGCCAATTGGAAAGATAAATCTATTCCGATATTTCTGCTCTGGGCTGTTTGGATTCTCTGACATCTTTAATGTCAGTGTAAAAAGCAATTAGGAAAGGCTAACATCCCATAAGACTTGCTCTCTCAATGAAGTAGCCTCCTAGTATATCATATCTTTGATCACAGCAAATGATCAATATTGACATTAGCACAAATTTGTGTTTATGCAAACATTTGTTGCTACAAATATATGACCTATATATTATATCTTGACTGGTTCTTTAGATCCAAATAATGCAAAGTGATGGATTGGTTATAGCAGACTGAGCTTTAGGTTGAGCGAGACGAAGCAGAGATCTCCTTTTTGGACTTTTTTTCTTGAACTGAAGCTTTGGACTCGACAAGGTATTTTGTGCTCACCCTATTGAGAGTCTATTCCATTCTCTCTTCACCAGAAAAATATACAAATAGGCAATCCCGTAGATTGATTATCGCTTCCTATGAGCAAGCTCCCACAGGCAATGGAGTAGAAAGTTATATTAAATGCTGATCCCATCTTCTCTCAAAATCTGAAAGCTTATGTGTGTGATCAAGTGGTATAAACCATAGCTAGTATAGAACAACCTTGACTGCTTGCTTTAGGCGATGGCACCTACTTATATCTAGGATAAATAAGGTGTGCCAGGGGCCATTGAACATTTTTAGTTAAACGATCGAACTGTTTTTCCGCCCTCGTGTTCCCAGCATAATCAATAATAACAATCTCAGAGCTAAGTTAGTCGAAATCAGGGGAAACAGGCAGTTATTAACTTAGCAGTTCATATTATGTTGCCATTTTGTATCACCGAAATTCAATGATCTCTGTACACATAGGGAGCTTTTAGCAGCTAGAACAGGTCTCCTCCATTTAGCAAAAAGGAAAAAGGGAGAACCGA